AAAAGGAATAAAAACCAAAAGATGAAAAAGCAAAGGAATAAAAACCAAAAGAAGAAAAACCAAAAGAATAAAAGTAAAAGGAATAGAAACCAAAAGAAGCTGATAAGCCAAAGGAAGCATAAAAATAAAAAGCTTAGGAAGATGATGAACCTGCTCCAGAAAAGAAAAAGAATCCTTTAGATTTACTTCCCCCATCACCATTCAATATTGATGATTATAAAAGAGCCTTCTTTGCTGAAAAAGATATTGCAAAAAATATTGCATAACTCTTTGCATAAGTTGATACTCAAGGTTGGTCTTTATGGATTATCACATATAATAAATCATAAAATGAAGGCAAATAACTTATTTTAACAAATAATTTAATGAAAGGATTTATTAATTAAAGATTAGATTAAAATTTCAGAAAATATTCTTTTGCAATTCATGGTGTTTATGGTGACGAACCAAATTTGGAAATTAGAGGAGCATGGATTTGGAGAGGAATTGAAGTACCATAAGAATGGGTAATAATATTAATTCATAAATTATTAGAAAGATCATGTTGCTTATGATTATCATGTTTTCAGAAGAATTGACTTAAACAATGAATAAGATAAGAAAGATTTCACTGAATATTGGGTGAACTAAGAGGAAGATGTATCAAAAGTGGGTGGTCTTACAGCCAGAAGCTTGATGTATTTCAGATGATAATAAATTATTCATAAAAAGAGTATTAATTGTAAAATAGTAATCTTCAAATCAAAATTTCTTAAAATTACGATTATTATTACGATTACAATTGGGATGTTTAAAAACTTAAATATTCTGTTTCATTAAAAAGAGTATTATATGTTTAAATCTCAAATGAATAAATTTTTAATTTTTTAGAATAATAATCCCAGATAATTAAGATATTTCCATCATCACTTACATTTCCATAATTAAAACTATCTTAGCAATCTATAGTTTAAATAATTTAAAGCTTTTCATTAGGGAGTTATTTAATGACATATACATATTTACCATACTTTTAAATTAATATTTATTTTTTTTAATTATAAATTGTTGGAAATAAATAATCTCCATCAAGTTGGGTATCATAAAATTTTAATTCTAAATCTTTTCTTTCAATAATTTTGTTATTATTTATATTGAATACTCTAGTTACATCTTTTTGTGAATGTTAAATTACAAATTAATCCTCTTTTATAAAACAAGATCTATAGGCAATATTAGATAGAGAATATCTATCACTAATTTCATATTTTTTAGTCTGGCTATTTTTTGTCCAAAGAACTAATGTTTAATTAATATTAGATAAGATTAGACTTGTATCTGATGGATTAATGCATAGACTAAATATAGAGTATTAAGATTCTATTAGTTCATAAGAAAAAACAATAGTATTTTCTTCTAAGTTAATGTTCCAAATAGCTACTGTTCCTTCTTATCCACCAGAAAATAATTAATCTTCCTTATTATTTAAGATCATTGTATAAATACTTTTATGATGATATTTACTGGATTTTTTAGTAACCCATTTATTATCAATTAGTTTGGAAATAAAGATTTTCCCATCACATCCAGTTGTAGCAAACCAATCTATTTTTTTACTGTGAACAGAGCATAAAACTCTACCTACATGATTTTTTAATGTTTCCTTTAACTATAATTTGATAGTANAAAATATTCTTTTGCAATTCATGGTGTTTATGGTGACGAACCAAATTTGGAAATTAGAGGAGCATGGATTTGGAGAGGAATTGAAGTACCATAAGAATGGGTAATAATATTAATTCATAAATTATTAGAAAGATCATGTTGCTTATGATTATCATGTTTTCAGAAGAATTGACTTAAACAATGAATAAGATAAGAAAGATTTCACTGAATATTGGGTGAACTAAGAGGAAGATGTATCAAAAGTGGGTGGTCTTACAGCCAGAAGCTTGATGTATTTCAGATGATAATAAATTATTCATAAAAAGAGTATTAATTGTAAAATAGTAATCTTCAAATCAAAATTTCTTAAAATTACGATTATTATTACGATTACAATTGGGATGTTTAAAAACTTAAATATTCTGTTTCATTAAAAAGAGTATTATATGTTTAAATCTCAAATGAATAAATTTTTAATTTTTTAGAATAATAATCCCAGATAATTAAGATATTTCCATCATCACTTACATTTCCATAATTAAAACTATCTTAGCAATCTATAGTTTAAATAATTTAAAGCTTTTCATTAGGGAGTTATTTAATGACATATACATATTTACCATACTTTTAAATTAATATTTATTTTTTTTAATTATAAATTGTTGGAAATAAATAATCTCCATCAAGTTGGGTATCATAAAATTTTAATTCTAAATCTTTTCTTTCAATAATTTTGTTATTATTTATATTGAATACTCTAGTTACATCTTTTTGTGAATGTTAAATTACAAATTAATCCTCTTTTATAAAACAAGATCTATAGGCAATATTAGATAGAGAATATCTATCACTAATTTCATATTTTTTAGTCTGGCTATTTTTTGTCCAAAGAACTAATGTTTAATTAATATTAGATAAGATTAGACTTGTATCTGATGGATTAATGCATAGACTAAATATAGAGTATTAAGATTCTATTAGTTCATAAGAAAAAACAATAGTATTTTCTTCTAAGTTAATGTTCCAAATAGCTACTGTTCCTTCTTATCCACCAGAAAATAATTAATCTTCCTTATTATTTAAGATCATTGTATAAATACTTTTATGATGATATTTACTGGATTTTTTAGTAACCCATTTATTATCAATTAGTTTGGAAATAAAGATTTTCCCATCACATCCAGTTGTAGCAAACCAATCTATTTTTTTACTGTGAACAGAGCATAAAACTCTACCTACATGATTTTTTAATGTTTCCTTTAACTATAATTTGATAGTATTATCAATATCTGATTTTAATATTTACCATACTTTAACCTCTTGTTCACTACTGGCAATAATAGTATTTTTAAAAATCTCTATTCCACAAGAATATTTGTGCTCTTCTTGTTCTCCCTTTAATATATATAATTATTTTTCATTATTTTTGTTTAAACTTCTTTAAATTATTGATTATTATTTAAACTTAATGAGTGAAATTTTAATTTACTCTAATTCCTATTAAATTTTTTCGATATAGCTTTATTTTTCAGCTTATATTTTTTCAAAAAATTTTCTTTAAAGCAATTCTTAATTTTATTAATCGTAGAAATCATTGTATAATATTTTTACTTCATCTTCAAATTTATAGATTAGACATACTTCATGTAATTCTTAAATGAATTTATTCCATTTTTTAAAAATTCCTTGTATGCGATTATGTTAATTCTCTATTGAGTTTTCTTACTTTTATAATTGATCCAATATAGAACGATTTCTTATCATCAAATTGGCTTCAATCCTATCTGCAACTCTTTATATTGGTTGAACTAAGTTCCAAAGTTAAGAATTTTCTTCAATACAGAAAATACAATAGTATTGAATAATTTATTCATGTTTTTAGTAAAGAAAGAACTCAATTCTTTAATGTTCATGTTTAAGACAATAATCTTAAGGAAGCTTCTTTTAGAAATTAGACATTGAAGTTAAAAGTGAGTAGTTTATATTTAAAATAACATTTCATTTATACTCTTTAATCGATTTAAAATATATAATTTTAATAGAAATTGATTAAATTTTATTTATAGAATAAGTTTAATTAAAATAATTTGTTCTCATACAATAACTTTTCGTTATTAAATTAATATAATTTCTTTTGATGCACAAATTCAGTGATGATTAATTTTTAGGAGATTGAAATTATTATATTGAAACTTCTTAAAAATAACTAAATATCTTTGATAACTAAATATTTTTAAAGTTCATATTAATTTCTATTAATTTGATGAAAAATGTAATTAAAAATTCTTCTTATAGATTGAACCATTATCAGATTCAATAAAAGTTCTGATATTAATATAAGTTATATTGAAGACAATTTATCTCAAGAAGTAATTATATCAAAAATATATGAACACATAATTAATTCAGAGTATAATTATTAAATTATAAGCAGGATCTAATTTTCAACTCTAACTAAATTATGAACAAATTTAGAGAATCAATAAACTGAATGTGATATGAAATATAGATTATCGAACATTAATAAAAGAAAAATAATTAGAATATGATATCTGTTAAAGAATATTTAAATTAAAATAAGTAAGCCTATAATAAACAAAATACATTAATTTGAAGTTATTAAAAGGGTAATAAACAAAAGAACTGTGGTGATTAAAAAATCTATTATTTTAGACTATAATTTTATTAATAATTTAATAAATAACTAATAATTTTGCTAGATCATTATAGTCTATAAATTTAGAATTAATTAACGTATGTAAATTGAGTCTTAATTATAATAATTAACTTATAAATTGATAATAATATGATTATAATAATGTCTTATTACAGCCCTAATTAATTCTAAATAGGTTTTATAAAATTTAATAAATGTATTGAAATTCAACTAGAAATTGTTATAGTTAGTAAACATTTATAATTCAAATTAATTAATATTAAAATACAGTCGTTATGCGGTCACCATCTCTATTTTCACCAGTATTAATCTTTGAGATAATAAAAGTCTAAGTAGCAAAGATATGAAAAGCAAAATGGGTCTTTTTAAACATTTTCAACAACTAATTAAGTGAACAAAGCTTAATTAGCTGATTTTAGAAAAGAAATAAGAAACAATATTAGTTAAAGAGAACCTTTCATTCCACAATAAGAAAATAAGCCAATTTTATTAACAAATTTGAAGAAACATGAAAGAAAAAATACGTAATTTTTTGAAATTATTTATAGAGAAGGCAATGTGGCTAAATATATGGCAAGGTCATCTCCTAAGAAAAGCTTACCTGGTGGATTAAATGTAGAAGAGATTTTGTAAAATTTGATTTGATTCTTAGTAGTAGTCAAAAGAAATTTATAGATAAGAATTAGTCATAAAATACTTTTTATTATTAACAATAAAGAAAAGTGGATTAATTATTTAAAAAAGACTAAAATGATTCTTTTAGTAAATAAGACAATTCATTTTCTAATTTATTTAAACCAAAAAGATCATCTTAAGCTCATTTGTCAAGATAATCAGGAAGAGATTAATCTCCAATAAATTTAGAAAGATTTAGAAGTTGGGATACAAAATTAGATTTGTAACTAAAACAATTAAATAACACTAAAGATCTAAGCTTTTATAAATATTCTTAATAACCATAAAAAGAGAATATTTATGAGACTAGTAAACCAATTTAAACTAAAGATATCTTTAATATTAATAAAAATGCCAATAATTTTAATAAATTTTTAAAGAATTCTTCTCCACCTAAATTTATTGAAAAAATACCCTTAACAGAGATAGTTAAAATGTAATCATATTTCTCACAATTACCTACTGTAGAAATTACTACAATACCAAGAGGGTAAAATATAATTTAATTTTTTTAAGATATTTATAAGAACTTTAGAATTTATAACAAACTCTAGCTAGAGTTGTCAGATAGTCATAATAAATTATATGAATTATATATTATGTCATTTCTATAAGCAATTTAAACTTTCTAAATGATAAGGAATATCATCTTTTCTTAATTAGCATAAACATTATGTACAAAAACATAATCCCTTACACTTTTCAGAATTACATTAGTAAATCAATTTTTCGATTAGAGGTTCAGTGACTCCCTAACAAAAAAAGCAAGGAATATAATCAAACACACTAATTATTCTGAATTTCTTTTATTCTTTAACAATAGGATTAATCTATTTACCATTTAGTAAGGTTATACATTTATTTTATTAAAAATGTTTATGATGATCCTTATTATAACTATAATTTACCTCTTTTTATAATTATTGATCGCATTGATAACAAAAATAAGTTCCACATTTACAAGTCATAAAATTACATCCTGCTATTTTCTCAACTAAGACTTTACATTTTGGACATCTACTAATATGTAACTTTTTCTTTTTTTCTATATAACTAACTTCTCTTAGATTTTATCCTTATTCACAAGAAATTCCAATTTAATGATCATTATTACATTTTCTACAATGTTATTATTTACAAACCGGGCATTTTTGATTATCTTAAATAATGATTCATAAAACAACCTGCATGTTTCCATATCATAAATTAATAAGAACATTATTAATTTTTACATCCTACAAGAATTTCATCATCAACTAAATATTCTATAAGATTTTGCTTAATTAAAAGTTCACAATATTATGAATAAAGATCTTAACTAACTACATTTTATATCCATTTATTATCAACTATTTGAGTGTTACATAATGGACATGCATAAAATTTAAGTTAAACCTTTTATTCTCTTATACTTTATTCATATGTAGTTTTTAAACATAGTTTACAATAGACATGTTAGCAAATTGGAAACAAATGTAAATCATCTATTGAATATTTAGATAAGCATATTTGACAGCTATTTTTATCATCCATGTAATTAATAATTGTTATATAATAATATTTACACATATTAAACCATAAAGAATATAATAAATAACAATTAAAATATTAAGTTTAAACAGAATTATTTTTGTCTTCTTATTGTTATATAATAATTTTATTTGATTAAATCATTTTGAACATCTATATGATAATTATATAATGAATATCAAATTGATTCTGATATAATGCAATTATTTTGTTTAGTTAACTTTTTTAATATCATTCAAATTTAATAAACTATAATATTATTTAAATTATTGAAGTTTTTAACACTATTCATAACTAGTTAATTAAATGAATAAGATTTTAATAATCAAATATTTAATATTGTTTTTTAGATATATAATATTATTAAATAGAATTTTTAAATATATATTTTATAAGTGAAAAGGCTCAAACTTTCTTTCAAAATTATGAATTATTCATCGATTGAGGGAAAGACTCTTGTCTAACTATATAAGGAAATTGAAGAAAATTCATATTTGATAATGAAAGTTACATCGCTGAAGACTAATGAGTTTCTTGGCTAGATACATTTGATAAGATTGGAAGGCTTTCTTTGAGTAATTATGATTATGAAAGACTTTAACTTTTGATTAAATTTGTAATTCCTTCATAATATTTATAATACATAGCAGCAAAGTCTGAAAATAGTACAAATATTTACATTATTATTACTAATACTATTACTATTATGAAGATTAATTCTAAAAGACTTAAGAATTATATAATGATCTAAATGGTTCACTTAACAGTTATTAAGAATTCTATATGTTATTAATCTGAATGAGATTATTATTTAAACTTTAACTTAATATACTTTAAGCAATTCTATTTGCTTAAAATTCGTTATCATCTTCCTCTTTTACTTAGACTTCTGAGCTTTCAGCTGAAATTATTGCATTCCAAACTTCTTCATTTTATACTTTTAAATTATCAATTATTTTTTTTTCTTATTCTTTTTATTTTTTTAAAGAATTTTATTTTTTCAATTTTTTCTTTAAAATCTTAGTATGTTTCTTCTTTTTTAAAATACTGTTTTGGCAAGATTAACTATTCTCATTTTAATCTTGTTTTGGGATTTCATTTGATTATAAAATTAATTTTAATTATTCAGCATCTGTTTTTTATTATGAATTTGGTATAACATAATAAGGATTTTAAATATTCATATATTCTTTTCTAATAAAGGAATAAAATCTATTTTTTATCATATTTTCCTAAAAAAATTTAGTTATAAATTATACAGGTCTCCCTTTTAATAATTTGGATATTTCTGTCCATCTTGATCCATACTTTTAATAAGCTTCCATGACAATCAGATCTTCTTCCTTTGACCATGGTTCAGCTCTTATTTCTGGGTTTAATTTATTTATGAATCGTTCTCGAATTTACTTTCCCGTCCTCCAATTCATTATACTAGCAATCATTCCCCAATTTCTTTTATGTATTTTAACTAATTCTAACAGTTATTAATCTTCTTCTGCACTCCAAGAATGTCGAGAGCGTTACTGAGCTTATTTAAAATTAAACATACTGAGACTGGCTTAATTCTCTTCCATCTTTAAGCGCATTAAGATGGATTTCTATTATATAAATGCTTTGCCACTTCCTTCCAATTAGTTCCAAGTTCATGTATTGCTCTTTCCAGCAATTTATCTTCCTTTTATGACCATATTTTTCTATTCTGTATTTTTTTTGAAGTAGCTTTTGCTGACAATTTATCATCTTCCATTTCATAATGTTCCAATTAACTACAATTAAGAAATAATTTACCTATCATTAGGCACCATTCAAAATTTAATTTAATTATTTATATTTCCCATTCAGATTTGTCATGTTTATATGTGATGAAAATATATTAAATAAGATTTGAACAAACTAAAAAAAATATGAAATAAGATAAATAATTACTAAAGATCTTAAGCATCACTTTTTATAATTATAGATGTCTCATTTTACATTATAATTTAAAACTTATCAGACAGAAGTTAATTTTAATATACAATACTAATATGTTTTGTAATAAAAAATATGTTTGAATTCCAAAATTTTTATTTCTTTATCAAGTAATTATTTGATTTTTACTACAAAATTCATTGATTTGAGTGGTTCAAGTATTTCAAATTCTACTAGATTTTGAAATAACACTAAATATTTACTATTCAATAAGTTAATTTTTAATAGAAGGTTCTATATATAGTACAACAATAAATATATAGGACTCCTTGTTTAAAAATCAATATTATCATAAAAAATAAACACAAATATTAGCACTTTAATTTTAATTTATGTGTTTAGGAATATATCAATGTTTTAATCAAAGCCTAACTTATCTAAAAATAAATTTAATTTATATTATTATTAAAGATCAAAAAATTAATATTATATATAGATTTATAAAAGCAGGTTTGAGAAAAACAAATAATATATAACACTTTGTACTAACTAAAATCATTATAAAGTTTAAATACTAATCCAAAATTTCATATATGTTGCTTCAATCTTGAAATAGACTAATATTGTTTAGAAAAAATGATAGATCTACCAATTATTGATTTTAAATTATGAATATCAATTTATTTAATATTCTATTTTATTTCAGACATACTTCAATATAATTAAATAAGAATAGAAGTTGCATCTTTATCAAAATAATTTTAATGGGGAATAAATATATTTTCCCTTAATTATATTAATATTTCTTGATTGATGATCAATTATTAATATAAATAGTTTTTTTCAAATAACTCATTCAATTTTCATATATTTCTTTTTCTTTTCCTAAATATTTTGCTAGGCTATGTCAATTCTTCTGATTTTCTTCAACAAATTAGAATGTGATCTTTTTTAAAAGTAACATATGATTGCAATAATGGTAAAAATTATTGAATATATTAGAATCTATACTATTATACATTATACTTACAGCAACAATGCCAGTCAGCTTTCTTATAGTACGTTTCCAATAATTGATTTCTTTAGGTACTTTCTTTCCTTAAAGTTTAGTCCATTCTTCATTTCTCACAAAATTTGAAACATCTTCAAAGGTTAATTCTCCACTATATCTATACATAAGACTATTCATATCAAAGTAAACTAATTAAGGAAATGTTGACACTACTATTCTATCTCTTACATCTTCATTTTCATATCTAATGTTAAATAAAATAAATACATATCAACAGCTGAAAAGTACATATTAGTAGTTTTAAATTCCTCTGCTAATTTATCAAAGATTGGAATAAATTCTTTTGATTTTTCTTCATGCTCCATAAAAAAGAATACAAACCATGGCTTTTCCATTTTCTTATCTAATTAATCATTAGTAAAATTACCTATTTGTAATTGATTAAAAAAGTCATAATCTTTTAATGCAATAATCCTATATGAAAATAATTTTGATTTTTCTACACCATAAATAGTTAGGACAAGTGAGATTAGAATTAAATATATATACATTATATTATATTTAATTTTATGTATTATTTTTATTTAGAATTATTGAACATTAGTTTAGTAAATGAGTAATATTAAAGAGTTAATATATATAGTATAACAGAAAAAATCAATGTGAAATAATGTTATATGTTTAATATTTTCTAATAAAATAAATCTAATTGTAATTGAATATATAAAAATTTCAATATTAAATTTAGAATGGAAATAGTTTATCTGAATTCAAAATATGTGAGTTTAAGTACATTATTAAAATAACTTCAATTTGATATTAATATAAGTTAAATATTATTTTACAATACATAAATTTAATTATTAATATGAAGAACGAATAATCTATATTTAAGTTATTTTTGACCATTGACTTAGCGAAACAACTTAATAATAATAAAGAAATAGGTGCTTATCGTTATGTGATTGATTTATAAGATTAATCAAAAACATTTAATTCGACATCAACCTAAAGCATATTATTTTTCTTAAAGTAAAATTAGTCATCATTTTAATATTACTAGTGAAATAGAAAACAATACAAATATGACAGTCAAAATAATATCAGAAAAAACAAACAAAATTATAGGTACTTTAAGTATATTGATCCCATTTGCAATTAATTATGAATAAGAATTGACTGTAACTGAATCATTTCAATTTGAAAATGAAAACAAATTAAATGGTTCTTATACACTCTATTTAATTAATATTCCATTGTTTAAATAATAAGGTTCAAATGATACTACTTCTATCTAAAAATCTAATACTGCACCTTAATCATAAAAGTAAAAGAAATAATTCTCTAAATCACCTTAATCACAATTATCATAGTATTCTTATCTAGAAAAAATTAACAAAGAAGTTAATCAGATATTAAATAAACATCACCATTCTCTAAGTTCAAAGAAAGATAAAACAATTGATACTGGGATTGTGGATGAATCTCCAAGTAGAATAAGTGATAGAGTTTAAGTTAGTAGATCTGGAACTTTTGTATAGTCTGAGATAAGTCCATCATAAGTGAGAAAATATGTTATTGAAGATTCTCCATCAAAATTAAATTGCAGTTTTAATAAAGAAAAGGAAATAAATCATAGACATCATTAAGAATTAAGTTGTTTATACTATTTAGATTAAGCAACTTTAAGTAATCAAATTCAAATAGAGAATGAGAATTTAAAAGAAACAGTTATAAATTTAAATACTAAATTGGAATATTAGGAATAATAAATAATTTTATATAAATCATTAGAATCAAATTATAAAGATCTTTAAAATCAATTATAAACATTTTTAAAGGCTTAGGAATTAAATAAATCAGTAGATTCTGTATTTGATAAGGAAATATTAAAAGTGAATGCATAATTAAATTAGAAGATATCTTAATTGTTAGAAAATGAAAAGAAATTTTCAAAATAAAAACTTGAATATGAAATGTAAATATCTGAATAAAGAAATGAAATTAATATGTTAAGATAAAATCTTTATGAATTAAGTGAGAAATAGAAATACTATTCCAATTTAAATAATGATTTCATAAATTAAAAATAATAAAATATGGAATTAAAATAAGAAATAATTAAAAATGTTAAAGATTATGAAACTAAATTATGTAAATTTGATTAACATATCACAGAATAAAATAAAAAAATAGATGATTAAACTAAATAGATTTGGGATTAAAAGTAGTAATATTAAGAATTAGAAAAATTAAATAAATCATTATCTTTTTAATTGAAGAAACTTTAAGAAAATTACAATTCATAAAAATAACCATTAATTAATATAAAGCCAATAAATAATAATAATGATACTGAAGATACATCAAAATAATTATAAATTACATAAGAAATTAATTAATAAAAATAAGTAGAAATTGAAAAATTATAAAATGCATTAAAGAAAGCATAATAATAAAATTAAGATTAATAGAATGAATATACATTAACAAAATAAGCTTTAAATTAGACTAAGTAGGAATTATCTAAATTAAAAGAATTTAATTTATAGAATTAAAATTAAAAAACAAAATAATAAACTGAAACTAAATAATTACAATAATAAATAGAGACAGAAAAATCAAAAGTATAGAATTGATATAATTCTAGGTTGCAACTTTATAGAGTCAATTAAAAGCTAAGAGTATTTAATTATAAGAGGCATAAGTTAGAGATGAGAGTTAATAAAATAAAATATTGAAATTAGAGTAGATTATAAAATAAACCAAGAATTTAATTGAAAATTAAGAAGAATAGATCAATTTATTAAATAATTAAGTAATATATATAATATTCTTAGATTAAAGATTTATAGGATGCAAAATAAAAATAATAAAATGATATTAAAGAAGACAAAGAAAAAATGAATTAATTAAAATAATTAATAAGTGGAATGAAAGAATAAAGAGTTGCATATATACCAATGCATGGTGATCCAATAGATCATGCTCTTTCAGAATATATAAACTCTTTAGATGATCCTAAAAAACTAATTGAACTATTTTTCCGTGAAAAAGAAGGTTAATATTTGATTGGTTCAAAAAGTGTACATTTAAAGAGTAAATACTAAATCTATTAATATAGCTGAATAAGGAAAAGTGTTTGTTAAGATAGGTGGAGGATTTATAGGAATTGAAGAATTCTTAGATGTATATTTAAAGGAAAAAACTGAAAAAATTGAAAAGAAATAAGGTTAATTAACACCTAGAAATAAGACTTCGAATAAAAGTCAAAGATCTTAGATATCTACTCACTAGTTTACTTCCTGATATTTATCATAAATTTATATTAATGTTTTTAGAATTTATATTTACATTTATTATTTATAAATTATAAATTAAAAAAGCCAGATAATTATTTGTTTTGATTATTGCTTCCACTTAAATAATATAAGGCTTTTATTATATATTATTATTGCAAAGAATGTATTTAAGTTTCATTAAAGAGCATTTTACACCTAGTTAAGAAGAACTTGACATTTTAGAAGCTAAAGAAACATAAGATTTATATTAAGATATATAAATATAAGGAGGATTCATTTAAGTAAATCTATTTCAAATATATAGGTTTATTCTAAATAATGCAGTATATTTGATTCTGATGTTTATAAAAGTAAACTTAAAGTATTTTAGAAATATTTATTGAATTATGAAAAATAAAATACAAAATTAAATGGATAATGTCTTGAAAAAGCATTCTATATAGATTAAAGTTATTCACTAGATTATTAGGTTGAGTCACCAGAAACTTGGTTAAAAGAACAAGTAACTATTTGGTAATTACCAACTGATATAGTAAATAAAATGAATTCAAAATATTTTACTTTTGAAGATATAGCTAAAAGACATGGAACTTAAATGATAGACATTAGAATATAGGATCCAAATACAGATACCTTTAATCCAACAATTGAATAAAATTGTATAGCTAATTAATTAAGAATTGATGAATATTGTAAGTATTTGAAAAACAAAACTGATTTTTTTTAGAAACATACTTAATATTCATCTGATAAAGTTTTATTTGCTGTAAATATAGATATGGATAATTGGGATGATGAGACTGGTTAATTATATGAGTATATGCCTCAATCATTATTAAAATATGATAGATTAGTATATATGAGACAATTCTGTTTGGGAGTCAATATTCCATAGATTTATATAAAAACCAAAGGAGTTTGGACAGGGGGACATTAAGAAAATTCATCAGTAAATTCATTAAATTTTAATCATGGTCCTGGGGATTGTCTTTGGTTAACTGTAGATGCTTAACATGTTCATAAATTACATTAATTGATACCAAATCTCTATTAGATTGAAGGCAAATGGTTTAAAGAGATAGACTTTTTTTTGGAAAATAATATTCCCATAAAATATACATTATAAAAAAAAGGAGATCTTGTGATTTTGGGAGCTGGATGTCTGCATTGGGTAAAAAGTTTAGGTAATACTATAAATACATCATGGAATTTATTAGTTTATTAAGATCATACCTTTTAATAAATATATGATAGATAACTTATTAATGACCAATACAAAATATAAAGTGTGATTCCAATTAAGAATTTATTTTTGGATATCTTTATTCATCATAAATCTTTTTAATTAAAAGATTTCTTGTAAAAGTTTATTCAAGAAGATATACAAAATTATAAAAGAAAATATACAAAAATTAAAAGCACCAAAAAGAGATTCAGTTCTAGGGAAGTTTTGATATGTAATAATTGTCAAATGGAAATTTTTATTTTCTATTAAATAATAAATGATACTACATTTAGATGTATTAAATGTCTAGAAGGTGAAGGAATTGAGATATATATGAAATATAAACCTACTGAACTTATTTTAGTTTTGAATGCAGAAAGGTTTTCTTGTAGTCCTACTTTATGTACAAGATATATAGGAAATACAGATTGTCAACTTGATAAATAAATTGAAGATTGTGTTAGTGAAAGTTATGAATCTATTATAAAGTTAAGTAAAAATGAAGTAGAATATTCTAAAACTAAATATATTAGAAGAAAGTATAAAAGTAAGTCTTCAAAGAAATCTAGTTTAATATAATCATTTGATAGGTACAAATTTATTATTTATATTAAAAGAAATCATAGTGAATAGACTAAATAATAAAAGAAAAAAAAAAGAAAATATAAAAAAACTAAAGGTTAAGATGATTTAATTTCAGAAATTTGTACATCCTAAAAGTCTCATAATAAAAACTATAAAACAAAATCTAAGTAAAGTAAGAAAACTTAAAAGATATCAAAACTTGAAAGTAGTGTAAAAAGTGTAACCAGTTCCGATATTGATAGTTTTTCTTAAATTCCAATAATAAAAAAAGGAAAAAAATAATATGAATTATTATGATTATAACATAATAATCTAAAATATTAAATTATTTGTTTAATAAGTATCTTTTTGTGGTCAAATCTTTTTGTTATTTTATGTTATTGATTTATTACAATTTAATTATAAATATTATTTTCTTATTCTCAAATGGAAATCAACA